TTTTTTAAATACTGAATATTAGTAACTCACTACCAGTTTGAGATTTACAGCTGTATAAAACTTCATTATTAAAATCCCATCTGAGTTTTAAATTATGTACTTATTCAATCACTATATTACATGTACATGATTAATAATATACTGCTTTTAATTAAGTATTTGCGCAGTAGATGCAGCAATTATTAGCTACATGATACCAAAGTAATGTGTGCCGACATGATTTAAATGAACTACAATATATTGAGAAGAGCATGATAAGAACTGCTTTTATCTACTAACTGTGAAATATCCCTTTACCTTACTAATTGCTTCCTATTATTAGAAATACACGTAACGCAGCAGTACACTAAAATAGCAAAAAGAGTCAGGGATTTCCTGTTGCATATTTTTAGAATAACAAGAGGAGTTATCTAACTTGCTTATAGTGGCGCTGGTTCGCGAACGGAAGTAGATTTACGCTGACAGAAAGCGCTTTGCGCTGCGCTTAGCGCTTAAAAACGGATGCCGGTCTTGTTAATGTCCAATCTGTGGTAAAAATGATAAACATCAAGGACATAAAATTCTGGATATCAAATTAGCCTGCATGGTTCAAAGACAGGAACACAAGGGAAGAATTTTTCGAATTAGAGGCGAATATCTCACATAGCATAGGCGTCGGAAGCAAAGCAAAAGAGGGGGGGGGGGGGCTACTTGAAAGAGGGGTAGTGGGCTAAACCAACAAGAAAAGTTAAACCCAAATTTTTAATGCCTATATGATATCTATCTTTGAAAAAAAAGTAACGGGGGGCTAAGCCCCTAAGCCCCCTTCCCCCCGGTTCCATAACGGTTTACTTTCGGTACTCCATGATCAATAAATTATTTCTTGAGATAGAAAGATAAGTGCTGTCCATTCACTCCTTAGTCTTCAAAATAAGCCTCGGGAAAATAACGGATTCACTTAGGACAACCAGAAATCTCACCGAGGAAATAAGCAAAAGAGGTAAAGAAAGACTTGTTGGAAGAAGAAGGGTTCGATCTCAGAATCAAACTGATAGCCCAGCAATGTTACAATGCGAAATGTAATAAAACGATGTTTGGATTATTACATTTTGCGTCAATACATTTTGCGTACAGATAAAAGAAAAATGTAATAACGTACTTTTTCGTTGTTACATTTTGCATTGGTGGTTTGCTTTAATTATTTTTTTTCGTTAAAGACAACGCAATATGTAATAAATCTGTATGTAATAAAACAAAATAAAATGAATGTTTTGGATTGTGTTAAACGCAAAAAATAATAAAATTGATTTTAATATAGCATGGGAAAACTCACTCTACCATGTTGAACTATGACAATGAGGCTCCCACTATGGATTTTACAGACATCACTAAATCTGAATGTGTCTTTTTTCTAACTCTGACTTTATGACTGAAACTTTTATTCGATACACTGTACTTAAAAAAACATTAATAATAATTTAACATTGATTGACATGTCTTTTCTATAGATTAGTCGTTAAATATCTAACCAATAACATTTTTATTATTACCAAAGATTGACCAATGGGCCATTAAAAGCTCTTGACATGCATGTTCGGCAAGGGCGCATTGGTTTGCAAATTCTAAAAAGTGTATGTGTGTGTGTGTCTTGAGAGGAGGGTCAGGGATGAGGTCAGGTGTTTACTCTGTATGTTGATCATTGTATTACTCTGGACAAGCAGAAAAAAGTATATTTCATTATTGGAGAGAGAGAGAGAGAGAGAGTTTTCAAAACAGTATGAAATCATAATTGTAAATTGACCACCCTCCTATGTTTGCTATATATTTCCACATACCACAAATTAATAGATTTTTTATTTATTGCATTTGTCAATCAAGGGGCAAAAGGCACAGTGGACAACAAAATGTACCACCCTAATAACATCAATCCGTTCCTGCATGCGGATTTCTAATTTGCAACACTTTGAATATTTAACTGATTTTGAATAAATATAGCAGATGAAATCAACAGATAAAATATTCATTCATATTCCATTCATTTTAAGAATTAGCAAATGTGTATTTTTTCCCTTTTGTTCTGTTTTCTTTTTATTCATTTTCTTCACGTATTTCTCAATTGAAAGAAGGATATGAAAGTTATACTCAACCTGCCTGACAAAAAGTGTTAATACAATTTTCGATCTTTTCTTTCGTTTCATGTAAAAATGTAATAATGCAAAATGTAATAATCCTAAAAAGTGTGCTATTACATTCTGCGTTGATTTCGACACAAAATGTAATACTAGTAATCCCGGTTTATTACATTATATTTACATTCGCTGTGTTTTCCTACTAAGCCAACTGTGAAATTGATTTGAAAGTCATTTTCGTGTATACTCACGCATAGAAATATACACGGAGAAACATGCGTTAACGTGACGTCACAATGAGGCTGCAGCGACGTTTGTAAAAATGCAACGATGGAGGGCAGCAAGACATTTAAATATGAGTATATTTTAGTTGCTTCCAAACATGTAAAATGTAAATATAAGGAATGTTTTTCAGTTTAGAGTGAATTATTGGTGTGTGAATCACACAGACTTGCACGTAGGCATATTTTTCATGAAGCGCTAGCGCGCTTCATGAAATATGCCTACGTGACAAGTCTGTGTGATTCACACACCAATAACTCACACAAAACTAAAAAACATTCCTTAATTGCATTGTTATTATATTTCGTTGTTACAAAGCAACAAGCAGAGGGAGACAACGAGCTTTAGCAACTGAAACAAGAGAAAAAGTCCCTCAGAGAAGATGTCAGCATGCTAAAATGTATTGTGATTGATCTGGAGGGAACAGTTTTTTTTTCATTCCATTTTTTCTCACGCCGGTTGCGTGCAAACTCAAACATAAAACCTGCTATTAAAACAGATAATAATGTTATATCTTAAAACTCTTAAAGGTGAAGCCCATCATAAAAGAGGTCCTGGATTTTGAAAATTAAATACATCCTTATCAGGAGATGAGAATTCTGAAAATGAAAGAATTAATCAAATATTTAAAAGAGAAATACACAGATTTAAATGACCATCAATTAAAATGGGACACAAATAAGTGTAAACTAAGGTTTATTGTTAAATATTCAAGATTAAAAGCAAGGAAAAGTACACATAAAGAAGAAGCATTATTTAAAAAAATAAATAAACAAAATGAAACACCATCAGGCTATCAGCTGATCCAGTTGAAGAAAATATAGTCTTATCAAATGAAATAAAAGAAAAATTGAATATATTAACAGACCTAAAAATGCATAATATTTAAATTTCAAGCAAAATGTTCTGAAGAAGGAGAAACGTCTCAAAATATTTGTTGTCTCCAGAAAAAAAATTACAAAAATAAGTGTATAGATAAGTTAGTAATTTTTCCACCCTCACAATTTTAATTGTTCAAAGTATATAAATTGCATTTAATTTTATGTAATATAGCTTAAATTCATCAATTATTTCTAAAAATGAATAGGTTGTCATATTGTTTAAGATGGGATACATAAATAAACATAAGTATTTGTCCACATAAAAAATTCGTTCATTTCTTGTAAATAGTATAATAAAAATTATGTAAAAACTGGTTTAAATGCATAAATCAAATACCTAAAGTACCGAAATACTTGCTACTTATCAGATGATTTTGAATTTTGAATGACAGGGAAACTATTTTATGTAATAAGTTTAATGAAGAAAATGCATAAATGAAGATATCTGTTTGTGTTAAGTACCGGTACCCTTAAAATGTTGTAATGTTTTTAATTGTAGACTGTAACCTGAAATAACATTTTGAACCTGAGAAAAAGAGATCAAATAAAAGTGATATCACGAATACGAATGTCAAAGCACAGGTTAAAGTGCTTCAATGCTGTCAGAGTCAGAATGACACAGAATTATACTGCAGTCCATATAAACAAAACCTGGGTATGCCTTGTAAGCAGAAACACGTTGTGTACCTCGATACCAAAACCCATGATGTCATTATTTCCCACTCAAAGCATGGTGACTTTAAAACACCTGAGTCATGCGAGAAACATGGAGACTACAAATATAAAAAAACAAAGGCAAATCTGGTGAAAAAAAATTACAAGCACCGAATTGTATGTCCAATTATCCTACAAAGTCCAATGACAGGAAACATGATTAGAATTAGAGGATAGAGCCTCCCATACAATTGTGCCATGCGGGCAGTTCTCTATTCTGAGGCCGAAGCTTTCAAAGCAAACATTTCCAGCATCCCAAAACAGCTCACGGTTAAAGCTGAAAACTTGAAAAAAAACTAATCGATATACATAGTAAGACACAAAAGGTATTGTATAAAACACACTTTTTTTATGAGATTTATATTGAAGCATCACAAAATGAAGGAGTATGTGCCAGACACGAGCAACTAGCAAACAAACCTGTAAAATTTTTGCTGTTCATAAAGGAGACCCTCATCCCCAAGACAATAAACCTTCCTGATACCATAATGTGTAATTTTAATGAAGAAATAGAAACAGGGGGCATTTTTGAGTCATTAGTTGATATCAAAATCACAGGGGTATGAAAAAGACAAGTAAGAAATGAACAAATATTAAAGCTAATGCCACTAGGCATGTTAAAGAAGTATGTTGCTGTACCTGACTTAATTCATGGTGTTCACGTTTCGTTTGTGACACCAGATAGAATTTGGGTCAATAATAGACACAATCTTTTTTAACAAATTCTAAAGGTAACAATATTCATTATTTATTCGATGTAAGTGAACTTTATGGTGTACATACAATAACCAGTGGTGGATATTTGATTTATGTAGATAGAGACTGGAGACAATACTACAAAGTCGACACTAATTAAGAGAACAGAACTATGGGTACCATGGTGTATTTGTCACTCTGCTTCTACTGGCTGGTCATGATTAGATATGATTAAGAAAATCCTACTATATCATTATCGGATGTGAAATGCATTCGATATAATGGTACAATACAAATCCAAACCATTCAATACCACAAGACCGGCAAACCATTATATCATGAACCTGTCTACATCACTGAGAACAGGAATGGAGACATTGTTGTGTCTGATATAGGAAAGGGTGTGGTGGTCACAGACCGTGACGGAAAATATCGTTTCACTTACACAGGACCACCAGAAGGATTGTCATTATTTATGCCTTGTGGAGCCTGTGTAGATGCATTCTTAAATATCCTGATTTGTGGTCGACTAGACCAAACACTACAAATGATTATCAGGGACGGTCTCCTACTGTCAAATCTACCAACAAGACAAGATGGAATGGTTTAGCCATTGGGTTTGGGATATGACTATAAAAATCATCTTGTTTGGATGGGATCAGGAAAGACCAACAGACTGTGTGTATACAGATATATCGAAAGACAAGATTATCTTGCATAAACTTCATTTTGCTAGTGTTTGACTGACTTGTTTCATATCAATTGGTAAACCTTTTTGTACTGAATGTGACAACAGAATGTTTCGTATACTTGATCATAGCTGTCTAGGCAGGTTATAACCGGTCAACAGGGAATGCTTACATCTCCCAGGCACCTGATCCTACCTCTGTAATTTCCATAGGTCCCTGTTATGCGCTGTACACAGAATTGTATTGTGAGTAGTTTTTAGCGTGGTCGATCACTGTTCGTTATCTTCACATTTTTCATACACACAGACAAGGAGATTTCGGACAAGCTTATTCATATGAATAATAATGATCTGTTCCACGTACAATGAGCACTAATTTTTATTTTTATCCCTGAGATACCGGAGTAAAGAGATAACGAATTTTATTCAAGCTCAGTTTATTTAACGAATACAAATCAGGAGCAGATCAAAATCCTGGTCTTTAAAAGTTCAGAGGTGATATATATTCCATGGAGGAATGAGCATCCCTTACCGACCGGTAATACCTCCGTGTGCCCCTTGTCATGATCAACAAAAAAGGGAGAATGAAATTTGTAGACAATTCAGCATGTAAATTAGTGTAAAAAACGTCCATTAACTTTTGATTCGATATATATGATACTTGTGTTATTGGTAAAATTTTGCAAAATTTATTATTTTGTTAGAAATTCCTACACAAAACGTCTTTTTGAATTATTTTAAAAAGATTAAAATCCTTTTTAAATCAAAGTAAAGAACTTAATCAACATCCTATAATTTTGTTCTTTTTTTTCTTTGTAAAATTGGTCCCAGGTCACACTGTGAAAGATCTCATTTTGATATCCCTTCACACCGTAACAAATATTATTTTTATTCAATGATAACATCCCAGTATTTCACTGTTGAAAATGTAACAGAGCATTATATGAAAAATAAGGATAAGAATAATGTAATTTTGCTTCAATCAAAGCTTAAAGATAGTTCTTTTAAAAATATGAATAATTGCAGTTAATTACCTTTTTCTGATGTGTAGTTAATTGACTTGAAAGTTGCAGCTTTTACTGCCTTATAGTAAATATACCAAATCTAGAAAATAAAAACTTATTAAGTCATAGAACACTTAATTTGTCAATCACAAAAAGGTGGTCAAGATGAGTTTGACAAAAATGTGGGGAAATAAGAAGTTATTATTAAATCCGGATTTCTTTCTTCCGTGCAAAGTTCTTGAGTAACTGCCTTTTACATACTATATTACGCATGTATATTATCAGGATCAGTGAATAATTGGGAAGAAGTGTTAATTCAATGGGAGAGACCTTAAGTTGTTTAATAACTTTTTAATTGTAAATTATTTATTTGATTTATACTGTTTATCTGGATTTTAGACCGGGTTTTTTTCGGATGGCTGATTATAGGTAAGTATGCAACTTGTTTGTAATTGATTTACCAGTAAAAATAAGAGATAAGATTTACCTGTGGTACTCCACGATCAATAAAAACAGAGACATTAACTGACATAGAAAGATAAGAGAAATAGAGCAAATGTTTTCAAATTAATTGATCATGAACTTACTTGCATCATTTTTCTCACTTATTTTTTCAAACACGCCTTTTATCATGACACAGTTTATAATAAACCTATTTAGTCAATTCAAAGAAATAAAAAAAATATTATACAACTATATATTATATATACTAGTACAGTGAAACTTGTATTAAGCAGTCACCTACGGGATCCATCAAAAGTGACCTTTATAGAGAGGTGACCTTTGGATAGAGGTTCATCTTTTTTTAAAATAATTTATTTACAAATTTAATATGTCAGTTTTGTGTTTATATTATGTATTTCACTATAAATATACAAGAAAGTTAGGTATTGGACATTAGTGATCTCACTTAAATTACTTTTTTTTTATTCAGGAGATGCATTACTTTTATAGATGAATTCAAACTAAATTTAATGAGTTCCAAGAAAATTAATAAAATAATTTTATATTGACTTACAATTACAGGGTGTTGCATTATCCCCGATTAAAACAATTTTTTTTCTTGTGTAAGGAATTAATGAAATCAGTCAAAAATTATTTTATCTAAACTTGATTCATAAATTAACCTCTGTACATGTTTTGTTTTGAATACATGTACACAACTGTACATGATTTGTTGTATAATAAACTCTCAGACGTACTCTCAGTTGATCTGCAGGTGCACAGGTGTCCTGAGCAATCACAGGCACCTGAATTTTTATCAATAAGTCGCTAATTAAGCCAAATATCGAAAAATTCTACCCCCTCTATATATAAATACACAAGGTGTGCAACGCCATTTTGACCCCCTCCTCGATTCAGGCTTGAATTTAACACATAAATTGGATATGCCTACCGGTATGCGTGTAGCATTAGGTTCAAATATGATATTTCTCGCTATACATTTCTTCCTAAAGTTTAAATCCAACGTGTTTATAATGCTAACAACTAAAATTCAAGCAAACTTCGAATTTCGTCCCAAGGCCCGATCGCCATCAGCTGACGTCACGGAAATTTAATCTCTACACCAAATGCTCGAATATATAAATTAATCAAACATATGTTAAATAAAATCAAGGATAACAAAGAATTTAATCCTTTGATATTTTATTATTTCCTTTTTTTGTTTGTCAATAAATTAAATATATAATTGCTGTATTAAAAAGTTTATATTTTAGAGCATTTGGTGTAGAGATTAAATTTCCGTGACGTCAGCTGATGGCGATCGGGCCTTGGGACGAAATTCGAAGTTTGCTTGAATTTTAGTTGTTAGCATTGTAAACGCGTTGGATTTAAACTTTAGGAAGAAATGTATAGCGAGAAATATCATATTTGAACCTAATGCTACACGCATACCGGTAGGCATATCCAATTTATGTGTTAAATTCAAGCCTGAATCGAGGAGGGGGTCAAAATGGCGTTGCGCACCTTGTGTATTTATATATAGAGGGGGTAGAATTTTTCGATATTTGGCTTAATTAGCGACTTATTGATAAAAATTCCGGTGCCTGTGGAGCAATGAAGCGTTACTAATCCCTAACGGTCGTTTCCTGTGTGAAATTCACAACATACCCAAGCCACAATGTGTACATAAACTGTAATTATGGCTTAAACAAATGATGCAAATTTCCTAGGTGTGAAAATTAAAATGCCTATCATGTGTAATAAATTTACAACTATCAGATCATGCAGAGTTGGGCGCGATATCGCCACTGTAAATGGTAAACAAAAATATCATATTCATTAATAGATTAATATAGTTCATGCGTTGTTCTTTTTAGAAACTTGATTAAAAATCCAGAAGTTATAAGACTCTGATAATCAGTTATCAGATATAGTTTTCGTTTATTTTCCTGTTAACTTTTTTTGTCATAAGCATTAGTTGTTCAAGTTTTGTAAAATATGGAAGCAGTTAGTTTGTAATACGATTCTTGAATATGCTTATTCATTAAAATAATTTGTCCATTTATTAATTTTTGTTCACGATCCCGCAACACTTGACTGATTATTTACATTAGTAACAAAAAAATGGAATCAGCTGACTCCAGATCAGGTCACGTGATTGGACAAAATGGCCGCTAAAGACAGGGAAAATTGGCGATTTCGTTTGAAATTAGGTGACCGCTGACCGCATTACACAGGTGACCGCTAAATAGAGTTACTTTATGTAAGAAATTTCATTGGGAGGAAATAAAATGACCGCATAGGACAAGTGACCGCTGGATAGAGGTGACCGCTATGACAAGTTTGACTGTATTATATTTTCTGGTGAATAGCAAACCATATTCAACGCGAAAAGAGTCCATAATTGTTTTATTATATAGTCCGAATTTGAATAAATAAGACATTTAAACGACACCATTTTCATTAGCGAACTTCCGTCGTTGAAAAAAAAATATTCAGATTACAGTTTGTAACCTCCGTGTTCTCCTTTCCGAGTTTTGTGGTGTAAGATGGCAAAATATTAAAATAATCCTGCAATAGCTTTGTATGATATTTTCCTGCTCAGATACGTAGCTCGCTGCGGCCGTTCCAACAAAATTGTTTACAACGTTGTTTGAGGTGTCGATTGTGACGTCAGAATGCTGCTGCACGCGCAATGACCCTCCGGTGAATACAACCTCAAATAAAGTGAATATGTAGTGTTATGAACTGTTTGTGCTTGTATAGATTATGAAGGGAATATAAATAGACTATGCAATAATTACTGACATTTACGAGTAAGAAAAATGCCACAAATATTTGCAAATTATTTGATTATAAACATACTTGCACCTGACTTTTTTCCGGATAACTTATTATTCACTTGGTTGGGGGTTTAAAATTCTTGTTTTAGTGAACAAATTTACTAGACTTACATTTATAAATTTAAATCATTTTACTTATCATGAAAATTAATATTTTCTTTATTGTAGACTGTCCCCTGAAGTGACATTTTGAACCTAAATGAGAAAGCATATTTAAGTTACATCATGAATAAAGATGTCGCAACCCACATTAAAGTACTTCAATGCTGTCAGTGTCAGAGGCGTTGGGAATTCTACTGCAGACAATGTAAACAAAATTTCTGTATGCCTTGTAAGCAGAAACATGTTGTGTACCTCGATACCAAAGACCATGATGTTGTTATTTACCGTTTAAAGTATGGAGACTTTATAATGCCACATCCAGACTGCAAATATAAATACTGGCGCAAATCCTGTGAAAGTCCAATCTGTGCTGCAAATTGTAAGCATCAGGAACATGAAATTCTTGATATCAAATTAGCCTGCATGGTTCAAAGACAGCAGCACAAGGAAAGAATTATTCAAATTAGAGGTGATAGTCTCCCATATAACCGTGCGATCCTAGCAGGTCTCAAATCTGACTTCAAAAAAGATGTTCAAAATTTGAAAGCACAATTCTCAGGTATCCATCAAAAGATAACGGTTAAAGCAGAAAACTTGAAAAAACTTATCGATATACATAGGAAAAAATTGAATGATAAAACAAATATTTTTACGAATTGTATAATGAAGCATCAAAAAATGACGGAGTATGTGCAAAGTTACGAGGAATTTGCAAACAAACCTGTCAAATTTCTGTTACTCATAAAGAAAACCCCTGTCCCAAAGGCAATAGAACTTCCTGATAACATAATGTTTAATTTTTTGGACGAAATCAATATAAGAGACATCAATGACTTTTTAGATGAACTCAAAATCACAGAGGGAGGAAAAAGAAAAGTAAAAAAAGAACAAATGTTAAAACTTGTGCACAGAGGTATGTTGAAGAAGTATGTTGCTGTGAGTGACTTAAATCATGGTGTTCACATTTCTTTTGTAGCACCAGATAAAATTTGGGTCAGTGATGGACACAGTCTTATCTTAACAAATTCTAAAGGCAATAAACTATATCATTTGTCAGATGTTAATAAAAATTATGGAGTGCATACAGTGAACAGTGCTGGAGACTTGATTTATGTGGACAATGACTGGAACATTAACAAACTAAATGCAGTTAATGCTACAAAATCGACGCTGATTCAGAGAACAGATCTGTGGGAACCATGGTGTATCTATCATTCTTCCTCTACTGGAGATTTGCTGGTCATGATGAGACATGATACAAGAGATCCTACAATTATTTCAAAGGTGAAATTCATTCGTTACAATAGCAAAGTACAACCAGTACAAACCATCCAGTATGACAGCTCAGGCCAGCAATTATATCGTGAACCTATGTATATCACGGAGAACCATAATGGAGATATTGTTGTATCTGATAGAAGGGAGGGTGTGGTGGTCACAGACTATAAAGGAAAATATCGTTTCACTTACACAGGACCAGCAAGAGGATTGTCATTTGGAATGTTTAGCCCACATGGAATCTGTGTAGATGTTCTCTTAAATATCCTGTTCTGTATTCCATTTAATTATTTTCAATCAGTATACACGATCGACAAGGACGGCCATCTGCTGGCAATTATATCAACAAAAAAATATGGGGTTATTCAGGCTTTGGGTCTGGGATATGACGAAAAAAATCATCTTGTTTTGGTAGGATCAGGGAAAACCAACAGACTGTGTGTGTACAGACATATAGAACGACAAGCTTATCTTGCATAAAATTCAATTAGCAAGTGTTAAAAAAAACTTGTTTCATATCAGTTGGTGGAACTTTGTTTCTGACAACAGAATGTTCATCAATAAAAAGGGATTAAGGCAGGCTGTGACAGGTCAACAGCTTACTCCTTCTAGGCACCTGACCCCACCTCTGAAATTTCCTGGAATATGTTAAACTTGATGACTTCAATTTTGATATCGTCAACTTTCCTTACTTATGTACATATGTAGTATTATACCCTTTTCTTAAAAAAAAATCATAATCTAACTGTATTTCTAAAATTGCATCGTTAGTTGAAATATCAAGGTTTCATTAATTGTTTGTACCTATCATAATGAATTATTTAAATTCCAATAAAGATACCAAGACACAACAAAAAAAAGTGTTAAAGGACAGATAGACAAAAATGTGAGAAAATTAAAGCCTACATTGAATCCGGATATTTTTTTCTGGTGTTCAGCAGCTTTTATATAAACATTTTAATTCACCTGATCATTCTATTTTATCAATGAAAGTTAGAATTCTGGAAAAGATTTATCACCACACAAATAGTCCGTCGCTGAGTACACCTTTTCGTAGACAACGTGAAGAAGTTTGGATTAGGAAACTAGGGACAGCCTTTCCCTATGGATGTAATGACAATGTCGATAGTGTTGGAAATCTTTCAAGCCCGCTGTGTAATAATATAAATGTGATGGGACTTTTTAACAATACTCAGAGACGTAAGCGTAGTCATGGACATCGTTCGTACAATAAACCTGCAATACACGACGTCTCTTTTGATTCATTACTACCTTATGTAAATCAAGAGTTAGGTCTACATCATATTCGAACAAAACTTTACTCTGTCCCTTTGAAATTTTTAAATAGTCTTCTTGAAAAGACCAAGGAACATCCAATTTTAGATTCCTCGACACCTGAATATAGGCTCGGTTCTGTGATTATGGATATTGCATATCATAGGCTTTTTAAACCCGCACGTTTCACGGAAGAAAATGCAGCTAAAACAATACGTCTTTTCCTTAAACTTCAATATGCCAATAAAGGAATTGACGCGGTTAATATAAGTAATATTCTTAATCACAAAAGGGTCCAGTCTTGTATTCCACCATATTTCAAGTTAAAGACTACACCTTGTATTTACTACAAATAGACATCGACCATTGCTTCCAAACTTTTCAATTACAAAAACACTTTGTTAAAGTCACGTATTAAAAGATTGAGGGGCAAAATGAAAACCATCTATCCTTCTGTGTTCAATAAACCAGAAGTGAAAAAAGAATTAGATAGATTACACGATCAGTACGTACTGGTTCCTGCCGACAAAGCAGGTAACAACATTGTCTTCGTTTGTAAGGCTCATTATATAAATTGCATTCTAGAAGAACTTGGATTTAATTCTACAAGTGGTAAACCTACTTATACTCATACTTCTCTTTCTAAGGAAGAAATTCTTCAAAATCACCTGTCAGTTTTGAATACTTTTAATATTCCACAGAGCCAAAATGAATTTGAACTACCTTATATATATTGGATTCCGAAACTTCGTAAGACTCCTTACAAACAAAGATACATTGCAGGTTCCAGTAAATGTTCAACCATGCCTCTTTCGTTACTTCTCACTAAAATATTGACAGTAGTGAAGGAAAAACTTCAAGAGTACTGTACAACTATATATTCAAGAAGTGGTGTAAATCAGATGTGGATACTTAAAAATTCTAAAGAACTTTTGGACAATTTGAAATCACAAGACTTTACAAAAATCAACAGCTTAAAAACTTACGACTTTTCAACTTTATACACAACAATTCCCCACGACAAATTAAAATCCAGGCTTTTTGATATCATTGACAGCTGCTTCTTCAACAAAAATGGAACTCGTAAATTTACTTACGTCGTCATTGGTCATTTGCAAAATTATTTTGTTAAAACAGATTCTGATTGCACACATAAGTACTCTGAAGTTGACATCAAGAATATGCTTGAGTTTCTGATTGACAATATCTATGTGGTTTTTGGAGACCAAGTATGCCAACAATCTATTGGAATTCCCATGGGTACAAATTGCGCTCCGTTATTAGCAGACTTATTTTTATATTCATATGAAGCAGAATATATGCAAAATCTTATGCGTGAAAAGAAGAAAACACTTGCTGTGGCCTTCAACTCGACATTTAGATATATCGACGACGTATTGTCAATTAATAATGATAATTTCCATTCCTACGTCGACACGATATATCCTGGTGAGCTTGAGATAAAAGATACCACAGAGTCCGACACTTCTGCTTCATACTTGGATATTTTACTTGAAAAAGACACTAATGGTAATCTAACAACCAAGCTATATGATAAACGTGATGACTTTAACTTTTCTATCGTCAACTTCCCTTACTTATGCAGCAATATACCTTCATCACCTGCATACGGAGTATATATATCTCAGTTGATTCGATACGCAAGAGCATGCTCTACGTATGAACAATTTCTTAAACGAGGTAAATTATTGACAAGCAAGTTGATGAAACAAGAATATCAACAGTCTCGTTTAAAGTCATCATTTCGTAAATTCTATGGTCGATACAATGACCTTGTCAGCAAATACAATTTATCATTGAATGAAATGCTGACTGACGTTTTTCATACCAATTGTTAGTCCATTATTTATACACTGAATTGACGACGGATTTTTTCCGTTATTTCCTGATTATGACAACGAGCACACGGCGGGTGTGACCGGTCGGCAGGGGATGCTCACTCCTCCATGGCACCTGATCCCACCTCTGATGTTTCGGAGGTCCGTGTTTGCTCTGCTCTTATTTTGTATATTGTTTAATGGACGTTGAGATTGAATACTGTTCGTTATTTCCATATCCTTCTTTCATGAATTAATGCCTGTCCACACGCAGGTAGGTTAAGGTTACAACCAAATATTCTACTTGCCTATATGCTATGACGTCATAATAAGCTATATGACGTGAGATTTAGAGATAACAATTTCTTAAAATCGATATCTAAGATTGATTTGAGGTCGTAAAAATGAACCAAAATATGCAGAGGAATAATATCAACGGAATTCTGTCGTTCCTGGGCCTCTGTAGTCATCACAAGGGGTTACATACCAAACCCGTGACGTCATAACTGTTGATCATGCAGTAGCAGAATGAAAGTGAAAAGTAACGAAAATTGATGTAAACAAACACAAAAAATCGGAGTTTAAAAGCATTTAGAATGAATATCATGTGTGATTCTTGTGGGAATAAAGCGTATGAATAAGGTATGGTAATATAATTCTGCAATTTCTTCGTAAAATTAAAGCAGGGAGGGTGTTTACTTGTCGATCAGCCTTTCCTCTGTCGTTCGTAACAAAAAAGATGCAAAAGTTCAACACTACGCCGCATACCTTGAAACTTAATTTTTGTTTCTATCTAAAGTTCTTATTCTTTTGTTTTTGGAAAGTGCTGCTAGAATCGTATGGGTTACGGGAATTGATGCATTTTTTTCGATGTTATTAACAAAATGTTAAAATTTTGGGAAGGATTCGTCCGAAATTGTTGAATAATTATTTCTATAAGAGGACAGTAGGATTCTAGCAGCTCTTTTCATGGTACAGAGATGTTTTAACATAACTATTAATGTAAATTGGAACTAATTATCTCCGGGGTAGTGTTAAACTTTTCACTTGTTCATTAAGGCATATTTTCTAATTATAGACGTCACGTGGTGACGTCGTGGTGAAGTGCCTCCTGTAGTATAAGTTCCATTGAAGTCTATAGAATACATAATTATGGTAAAAGTTTTATCCTTGACTTTTCCGATTTATTAGTGTTGCATAATTATAAAAAAAAGTGTTAATTCGCCGAAGTCTGATCCATGTGCTGCCTTAACAAACCCGCGCATTCATTATATAAGAATCAGTAAGGAATTCAACGGAGCAGTTCTTATACTGTTGTATAACTGTTTAAATGTTGATATTTTCTTTGGTTTCTATTGTTTATATGGATTTTAGACTGTTTACTTTTTCATGGGTGATTAAAGGTAAAGTATGCAACTTGTTTGATATTGATTTACTAGTAAAGATTAAAGATAACGTATTACCTTTACGATCAATAAAACAGAACTATTTCTTGACATAGAAAGATAAAAAAAATGGCGTGAAAGTTTTCAATTTATTTGCTCATGAACATGTATTTTGAATTATATTTCCGAATAACCTGTTTTCAAACACCCCTCTACTATGACCTAGATTATAAGAAAAAAAAATTTAGTCAGTTTCCTTTTGAAAATTTTGGAAAGTTTGGTATCATCTATAAGTTGATCCTCGGACAGTTAAGATTGATGTTCATTATCTTCATATGTTACATCAGACTTAGTTTTCATCAGAATTTTCCGTTTGTCCAATGATGTCAGCTGTTACAACTTCTGATTTAAAGGTGTGTGTTTGCTCTGCTAATAGTCTGTATTGTGTAAATGGACTTTAAGGCATGATCAGTGATTGTTACCATCAAATTTCGCCCAAACGTTAAGCCTGAGTTAAAAATAAGAATTGTGAATATACATTATACAGCAATGTTAAAGCTACCAATTTGTGATCCATTTCACTGGAAGATAGAATTCTACTGCAACACATGTAAAAGATACCTTTGTGCTCCTTATAAGGAGAAACATGTAATAGATCTGGACACTATGTATCATGATGTAGTAATACGTCAGTTAAAAAATGGAGTCATGATACCAGAAGCGTGTAAAAGACACAAAGGCAGAAAATATTACCGCTGGTGGCTGTCTTGTGAAAATCCTATCTGTGTCAAGTGTAATGAACACCAACAACATGAAACACAGAACATAGAATCATGTTGCATGGCGTGCAGAGAACAGAACAATGACAGAATTATTCACCTCCGAGGCGAGACACTTCCTCATAGTATGGCTATCTTAGCGGATATAAAATCTGACCAGAAAACAGAAAAACATCAAGCGGAATCATTCGAAATCATGGTAA